TTAACATTTATTTATATATATATACACACACATATATATACATATATATATTTTAATTTTTTTAACATTTATTTATTTTTGAGGCAGAGAGACAGAGCATGAACAGGGGAGGGTCAGAGAGAGAGGGAGACACAGAATCTGAAACAGGCTCCAGGCTGTGAGCTGTCAGCACAGAGCCCGATGCGGGGCTCGAAATCACAGACCGTGAGATCATGACCTGAGCCGAAGTTGGACGCTTAACTGACTGAGCCACACAGGCGCCCCTACATATTTTTTAATGTTTATTTATTACTGAGAGAGAAAGACACAGGGCACGAGTGTAGGGAGGGGCAGAGAAAGAGAGACACAGAATCTGAAGCAGGCTCCAGGCGCTGAACTATCAGCACAGAGCCTGACACTGGGCTTAAACTCACAAACCACCAGATCATGACCTGAGCCCAAGTCAGACGTTTAATGGACTGAGCCACCCAGGTGCCCCAGGTGTGATTCTTAAAATAAGCAATAATCACTTTCATGGAATGACTTTGATAGTAAATATTCTTTACTATAGATTCAACATGCACCTTGCACATTGCTCATGCTACGACTACGCTTGCCCTAGCTTCCTTCATAAATATCACAGACATGAGCCAAATCTAGTCTTGAATGATCATATACTTACTCATTTTGGTAACACTGAAATTTAACATCAGGACAAAAGACTCATCATACACTGACCAAGTGACTGTGGAATGATTCTTCAAACTTCAGGAACCAATAGCTGCTCCCTGATGGATCTTGTACAGAAGCAAGATAGCCAATACTAATTTTTCCTGTGAGCAAAGATGCACTACACACATCCACAGCTCCCCACACCAGGAGGGCATCAGTAAGGGAAAGTGAGCTGGGAGTCATACTACATAACTATAGGTTGGGTACTTTGGGCCAACTGTGTACAGAGTGTTAGCTGCATCTAAGAAAGAAGAAGAAAGTTAATAAAGCACAGAAATGTCTGAATGTTTATGAAGAGGAAAAACAAAAGGCCTAAATAAAGAAATGTTTCCAATTGAGGGAGGATAAGGTTCAAAGGACAGGAGACTTCAGTGCCAGGGATAGATAACAAAGTAACACGAATAAGCCCTCAGTATCTATTTTTTATGTTGTGAAAATCATGTAAGATGTGAATAAGGAATGTACTTCCAAGTTTAGGTAAATATTAAGAGATCCAGTTTATTGGAAGGGTATACACTTAGCTGGGATATTAGCAGAATGTAGAAATGTTCAAGTGGGTGTTAACCAAACTTCCTCTGAGTGTTCATAATCTGCCCTCTATTGTTCCCAAATACTTAGAGCCTAAGGATTTAAGCAAACTGGACATAAACCAATTTAACAGAGAATATGCTGAGTAACAATGATCATGGCCATTAACATGATATTTAGGCTGAAAGATAAAATTACCTCAAAATGAAGACAGGAATGCAAGCTTCAGTTAAAAAATGGCTGTTCAGAAGTAAACACAAGTAGCACTGGATGGAAGTACTTCTCAAATATGGTTTCTGAAAAACAGAATCATATGCAAAGCAGTTAAAACATGTTTAGTTAAAAAAATGATATACATTTAAAATGATATTTTATCGGGGCGCCTGGGTGGCGCAGTCGGTTAAGCGTCCGACTTCAGCCAGGTCACGATCTCGCGGTCCGTGAGTTCGAGCCCCGCGTCGGGCTCTGGGCTGATGGCTCAGAGCCTGGAGCCTGTTTCCGATTCTGTGTCTCCCTCTCTCTCTGCCCCTCCCCCGTTCATGCTCTGTCTCTCTCTGTCCCAAAAATAAATAAACGTTGAAAAAAAAAAAATTTAAAATGATATTTTATCATGTTGTAGGTTCCAGGAGGTAAATTGATCAAAACTTCAGAATTAATGCTCTCTATTAGAATTAATGAAGCTAGAATTTATCTTTCTTCCTTTCTCCCTCCTGCCACCTCTGTCTCCTATGTCCAAAATTACTTACTATATATTTTTCCAGATGCATTTCAATGACGATAATTTTAAGAAAATTACCATATTACTAATCTATGTATATACTAACATCACTACTTACTTTGTTTCTATTATCCTTATTCTCCTCATATTTTTTTTCCTTTTTAATAATTCAACATATATTTTTTGTTTGTTTGTTCTTAATTCTCTATGGCATGTTCATTTTTTTTTCTTTGGATGTCATTGAAAATAGTTACAGACCCAACTAAAGATACTCTGTGCCATCCTAACAAGTGATACATAATAATTTTTCTTGGTGATTTAGGGAAATATTCATCTTAGAACTTCTCAGAGTTTTGATATGTTTGCCTGCCTCTTTCACACTGTCAAAGCCTTTACAGTTTCAGAGAGCCCTTGAACCACTAAGAATCTGTTTCATTTAGTCTACACTGAAAGGATGAATAATATTACACTATTCATTGAGTAGATGAAAATTCAAAGAACAAAACAGGGTGAGAAAAGTGAAATGATACATTTGCAATGGCATGAAGAGCCCATCAGGGTGTTAGTAGAGTTCAAATACCTATTCCACTTACTTTCAAAATAAGAATAGTCCACACATGAATAGACCCCTGGGACACAACAAGATCTTTGGAGAATTGTCATATAACTTATCATGAAGTATCTGAGATTCAAGTGATCCTTTTGAAAAGTCCATATACTATCTCTACTAATTTTCCTTACCGAAATTCTCATTACTCAATGCCAGAGTAAATCCTTAAGTGTTGAAGAAGAGCTGGCTATGACAGTGGGATTCCAGCAGCCATCCATCCAGAATACTTCCTACAATACAATCGAGGGTAAGGAATTAAAAACACGGTGGACTAGTGAGGAAAAGGACTAGTGAGGAAAAGGAAGGAAGGGAATTAATATTCACTGAGCACTTACTTTTTCATGGGCACTCATCAGTCACTTAATATATACATCACTTTTAAATTATTTTTTAAGTTTATTTATTTATTTTTGAGAAAGGGACAGAAAGAGTGAGCAGCGTGGGGCACAGAGATAGAGAGGGAGACAGAGAATCCCAAGCAGGCTCTGCACTGTCAGCACAGAGCCCGATGTGGGGCTTGAACTCACAAACTGTGAGACCATGATCTAAGCTGAAACCAAGAGTCGGACCTTTACCCCACTGAGCCACCCAAGTGCCTCTATACACATCACCTTTAATCCTCACAACAATCCTACGGGGTGGGGTTACAGCATTTGGGTAAACTGCCCAGGCCCCAGAGCAAGTCCAAGACCACCAGGATTTGAGACCAGGTCTGTCTGAAGACAAAGCCCAAACACTTTCCACCATAGTATGTTCTTGAATTGGCAAATTCCAAAGTTGCATATTTACTTAGTAACCAGTAGAAGTCACCAAATACCTGGCTTCATATAAACCACTGACTGTTAATTTAATTTACAACAGAAGTATCTACTTCTACAGACATTGAACAGCTGTTTTCAGTCTTTGAAATAAATCACTGTTAATTGAAATGTTATTTGAGAATTTCATAAGTAACAAATTCTATTTTTTCTAATTCAAGGCAATGAAGAATGTGAGGTTTACACAGTCCCATATTCAACTCCATTTTATTAAAGTAAAGATTAAAACTAAGACATATAAAATATAAACAATTATTTTTGCCATCCTTTAAAAATAGTATGTATTTGTTGACCTCTCCACAAAAATCAAAATCTGCTCTGCCCCTGACATAAATATTCATTGCAATTAAGTTTTGTTAACTCAATTAACTAAATTATTTTATTTTTCACATGACTGTTTTATGATATATGATGTATAAATCTTTATTATTTTAATGTTTTATTTATTTTTGACAGAGAGAGTGCACACACACATGCATAAGTGGGGGTGAAGCAGAGAGAAAGAGAGAGACAGAGGATCCAAAGCAGGCTCCGGGCTCTGTGCTGACAGCAGTGAGCCTGACAAGGGGCTTGAACTCATGAACCGTGAGATCATGACCTGAGCCGAAGTCGGACGCTCAACCGACTGAGCCACCCAGGCACCCCCGATGTAAAAATCTTTAAAAGAAAAACTAGTATTTACCTACATGTTAAATAAGACACTATGAGACTACATTCAACAGGAATGCCTCTTTTTCAATAACATATTAAATTGAGTCCTCCTGTTACATATGACCTGAATCGTATGTACGATTTTAATTAAAACAAACTCTCCTTATTCCTCTCAACCAATAATCATTCTCTTTGCCTGTATTATCTCAATGCTTCAAGTTTTTACAAAACTTCACAGTTATCTCATAATTGTCCAAAGCCTCTTAAATTCCTTCCATCTTTTTGAGTTATGGTATCCCAAACTTCACATTGGTCAAATAACAGTATCTATTGACCTGGGACTGAGCGGTACTGAGGGTGACGGAGGTGTTAATAAGGCCTTGGGAAACTACTGCAGTAAGCAATGAGGATTTCACTCCTGGGCTTTTGCGGCAGCGCATCTCCCCACGTGCAGGGTGTCTGACCCTTACCAGTGTGGCAGTGGACTTGCACTGCCCCGCCCAACCACCTCCAACTGGCATAGGTCAAGGAGACTAAGTGCTGTGCTCTGAATGCTCCTACCAAGCATGGTGGAATGCAGCAGAAAACCACATCAAAAGCTTCAAGCAAAATAATGTTAATAGAGACCAATGGAGGGGAAAAGGAAACTTTTACAGCTTTGCCACCAACAAAAGAACTGATGTGGTTTCCTAGGCTAAGAGCAAAAAATCTGGCTTTCAAAGCAGCTTTGGAAGCATTCAACCTGCCATGTACTAGTGCTGTGGACCAGTAATTTTACTAAAATATGTGTGAGTGCAAGCATGCACGTGTGTGGGTCAAAAATCAGTGTGGATCTTAAAAAGTGAAAAGGTAGAATACCCTATTCCTTTCTCTTTAGCCAGGACTCAATGTTAACTATTAATATAATTAATATTAATGACGGTAATATTATAATATGTATTGCTTACCTAGTGCTTTTGGTTTATAACATTATTTCCTATACAGTGCTACATTCAATCCTGGCAATATCTTATAGCAAAAGACATTACTCTTATTTTACAGTGACGAAATTGAGGTTCTGAGAGGTTAAATGACTTGCTTCAGGTAAATGTCATGCATGTGGCCATGAAAATCTACCTCACAATCCAAGTTGGGCAGAAGGAGGAGGGATGCAAGAAACTGAGAAGTGTAAGCCCCTTAATATAGGAAGTAGCTGGGGCACCTGGGTGGCTCAGATGGCTGAGCATCTGACTCTTGGTTTTGGCTCAAGTCATGATCTTCGTGGTTTGTGGGTTCAAGCCCCACATCTGGCTCTGCTCTGGCAGCGCAGAGCCTGCTTGGAATTCTCTCTCTCTCCTCTCTCTCTGCCCCTTCCCTGCTCTCTCTCTCTATCTCAAAATCAACAAACATTTAAAAATATATACATATGTGAATAATAAAAATATATATGTGAATATATATAATAAAAAGCCCTGCTCTCTAACAGCTTAAAAACAGGTCTTTAAAATTTCTTGTGTGAAACAGAATTCAAGTTTTTCCACATCCATTATTCCATGTGATTCTCACAAAACACTTGCTAGAAGTGGCTGAAACCAGGTTAATTACTTTCTGAGAAGGCAAATCTAGGTATGAAATAAATTATCCACTTCCCTTTATGTCATATTTTTGGAGAACTGGGAAAGCAGTGTTTAATCCTGGCGTACTAATGGCATATGATCACGAAATGTCCTCACAATCAGCGTCTTTGGTTTGCCCTTCATTCAACTGGGTGTACGACTCCAGGAAAAAAAGAAAGACTAAATCCCAGCCTACACCCAAGTTGCTCACAAAGTTTGAGCAGGAAATTTTTTTGCGATCTTGTGATTGGGTGTCACTGCAGGGTGGCTGTTGACCTTATGGTGGCACTGCAAAGCTAGCAGGATGTCACTGCCCAGGGGTAAGACATTGGGAAGAGTTGACAAATCAACACAGCTTGGCAGCTCTAAGAGCTCTAATTCCGGAGTGACTTGTGGAAAATAATTGTGCACATCTTGCATTCCATACCAATATTGTAGTCCTTCCCGGTGAGGAAATATAACCTAATGCACTTCCGTTTGGCCTTGTTTTATTCTGTTTCATTATTTACTCGCCTTGTCACACATTTAAAGTAAATTTAAAAAGGCTTAGCACAAAAGAAGAATTATAAGTATTGGTTAATTTGGTAAACACATTAATCTGTTCACTCAAAAAAAAAAAAAAAAACTAAAAGTGAGGGCAAACCAACGTTGCGTGCTTCTGGAGAATATAAAGAATGGAAGACAGCATTGCTGCCCCTTATGCATTTAGTAAATATTTACTGAGTACTTACTATGTGCTAGACATTTCTCTATGACCTTGGGATACATCAATCAATGCAGAGGACAGAGAACCTTGATTTTAGGGGGAAAGAGACCATTTGTAACATACATAAACTAGTTAATTATATATTTGATTAGAGAGAGGTAAGTGATATAAGGAAAAGAAAACACAAAGTAAGGCAAGAAGGATGTGGTCGCGATTTTGAATAGGTGATCAGGATAGAGTTCAGCGAGAATAAAATCACATCAGAGATGTAAAGGCAGGAAGGGAATGCACCCTAATACACCCAAGTAAAGAGCATTTGAGGCACCCGGAAGAGCTAGATCAAAGGCACATTGGCACCTGCATGTCTGTGAGTCTGAGGATCAGAAAAGAGGCTGAGGGAGCGAGCAAGGCAGAGCATAGTCTGAGATGGGGTCAGAAAGGTGGACAGGGAGGGGTGGCTCAGACTGTGCCCTTTCAGCCACTCTACACTCTAAGGATCTGAAGTGAGAAGTCACTGCAGCATTTTGGGCAAATAACTGATACCCTCTGAATGACATTTTAAGCAATCTGTCTTGGCCCCTGTGTTAAGGACAGGCAAGGATGGAAGCAGAGGTCCTGAGACTACAGGAATGCAGGTGACACACAGTGGTGGCTGCAGTGTGCGGGGTGGCAGTAGAGACAGGGACATGTAGTTGGAGTCAGGAAACATTTATATGACAGAACCAACAGGATTTCCTGACAGACTGGATGTGGGCCATAAGAGAACAAAATACTCCCAAGTCTTTTGCCCTGAGCCCCTGAGATCTGAAGCTGCCGTAAACTGAAACGAGATGGACTATGGGCTGAACAGATGCTCTGAAAGGAGGGGTCGTATCAGGAGTTTTCATTTTGGACATGTGGAATTTGTGAGAGGCCAAGTGCACAGCCACACAGAAATGTCAAACGGGCCGTTGGATGCAAGAATCTTGAGTTCGGGCAAGTGGTTTGAGCCTGAAATCGATATAGAGCTCATGATGCTGGTGGACTTCACAGAGGGAAAGGTAGAGAAGAGGACCAAACCTGAGCCAAGGTATTTCAATATTAATTAGTTGGGGGGGGGCGCAGAGGGGGAGAAGGGCCAGCAAAGAAAATCTCAAAGGGAAGACCAGTGAAAGGGGGGAGAAAGGAGAGAGTGTGATGTTCTAGAAATCAATGAGAATTATATCCAGGACAAGAAATGACAATCACGTCAAAGGTGCTGAGAGTTCAAAGAAGATACAGATTGAGCCCTGACCAGTGAGCTTGTAACCTGGGGGTCATGGGTGACTCCGACAAGAGTACTCTCAGCAGAGTGATGGAGACAGAAGCCTGCCTGAAACGGACTGAGGAGAAAGTAGGAGGAAAGAATTTATGAAATGCTAAGTACAGGCAACGTTTTGCAGAATAC